GGATGGGGAGGAGCTGTGCCTCTCCCTGAGCTTGGGATGGAGTCCCAGTGCGGGACTGGTGCCTTGGTGGGGTGTGATGGGGAGATGGCAGCAAGCCTCGGGCTTCAAGGGGCTGCTCTGGCATGAGGGTTGTAGGAGTGGGAGTAACTAACCATGCACAGTCCCGTGCATCAGCAGCCCGTCATCTCCCTGTGCAGGGGCGCAGAGCCATGGAGCCCATTGTCTCTTCAGCCAAGACCATGCTGGAGAGCTCTGCTGGCCTCATCCAGACCGCTCGCTCTCTGGCTGTCAACCCCAAGGACCCGCCGCAGTGGTCGGTACTGGCCGGGCCCCAGTGGCGTTGCCTGTCTGGCCACTCTCGCACCGTCTCAGACTCCATCAAGAAGCTGATTACCAACATGAGGTGAGGAGAGTCTTACCCTCTTGATTGTGGCCCTGTCCCTGCTGGCAGGTACCTCTGCTCTGAGCAAGCATCCCTGGGGATGTTTTGGGTCATCATCTCTGTGGCTGTTGCTGATGGGGAGACAAGGGATGGGACAGAAGATGCCATATCTCTTGTCCTGCACGGGAGCTGCTCCTCCGGCCCTGGCATGGGTTGATGGGAACTCATGCTGGCATGCTGGCTATGACGCTGGGTCGCCCCAAAAACCTGTGAAGAGGGGTCCTGCCCCTCACCATCAGCAGCCAAGACTGGGGGTGGAGGGGTGGCATAGCACCTGCCAGCACTGGGCTGATCCATCTATCATGCAGGGACAAAGCTCCAGGACAGCGGGAGTGTGACGAAGCCATTGAGGTCCTGAACAGATGCATGCGTGAAGTGGACCAGGCCTCCCTCGCTGCCATCAGCCAGCAGCTGGCCCCCCGAGAAGATATCTCCCAGGAGGTGTGTCGGGGACATGCTGCTGCAACGTGTGTTGGGGGCAGGTGTCCTTCCCCCCCAGCTCCCAGTGGCACATGGTGACCCCAGCCCTGCTGCAGCCTCACACAGCACCCTCTCTTTGCAACAGGCTTTGCACAACCAGATGATCACGGGCCGAGGCCTCGCAGCTGGGGCACAAGGTAACACAGGGATGGGGAACTGCTGACGAGGCCCTCGGTGCACGTGGAGGAGCTCACAGCGGGAGGATAAGCACAAGGCAGCAGGGCTGTGAGCTGCTGGTGCTGATGCTGCTCTTCCCTAGGTGTCCCAGATGGCTCAGTACTTTGAGCCACTCATTATGGCAGGTATCGGTGGTGCCTTCCACACAACC